ATTTGGGGTTATGTGGACCAGTTGATGAAAAATCATCAGATAAAGTCTATGGAATTGTATCATATGTTGCACCCGAACTACTTAGAGGCAATAACACAAAGAACACAAAAGAAACTGATATCTATAGTGTTGGGATGTTAATGTGGGAATTATTTGCAGGTCATCCACCATTTGATGATAGAGCTCACAATCATTGTTTAATTTTTGATATATGTGCAGAAGGCTTACGACCACCAATATTACCCGGAATGCCTGATGATTATATGCAAATAATGCAGAGGTGTTGGGACGTGGATCCATCAAAAAGACCAACTAGTAGAGAGCTTTATGATTTTGCTAGAAATAAACGTCATGAAATTTTTGATAATAATAGTAATACTACTAGTAGTGGTAGTAGTACTTTGCAACAAGTATACAAATCACATCCAGGTGCATATCATACAAGTAGAATATTGGATGAAGAGATTGCTAAATCTAAAGACTTTAAAAGTTATACAAGTAATGATAGTTTGTTGAATAGTCTTGATTTTAACTCTTTTCTCTAAAATGTTAACAAAGGTGAATAAAAATTTTATTAATAATTAATTGGAAATTACTATTGCTAACAATATTAACTAATTAATAAACATTAAATTCTAGTAACAATAGTAAAGGAAGAGAATCGACGAATGACTAATTTAATCTCCATTATCTTTATTTATCTTTTTATTTTATCCTTATTTTGTTTCTTTAAAGCTAAATTATAATAATGTTTTGAAATAATAAATCTTTTGACTCTTGTTAAATCGTGGTATCATTTTGGTTGATTAACAATTATGGCTTAACTTTTGCTTACTCTTGCAAATAATTTGGTGCTTGTCAATTAATCAGTTTACAAATTTACTTTAGTTTCCTCTCTCTTGCACCTGGACGAGCCTGTGTGCACACACTCAATAGCACCAGATAATTGTAAATAAATAAAGATGCCCTTTTACAAAGCTCAAGGCTTCTATAAAGTTTCTTTTATTCACTTGTGATTGATTTATTCATTTACATTTATTGGCTGGTTGCAAACTTGCTTTGGTTTACTTGCAAAAAAACTTAAGTAGCTTGTTTAACAGCCTTATGTTTACAATTACAATAATACTACCAGTATTTCCGATTAACCTTCGGATGATGCTTCATTAACATCCACTAGTTAACCAACTTTAACCTTAGCCTTTGCTTACTCACTAAAACAAATTACTAATCATGTTACTTTTAAAAGCTTGTTAACGTTTAATAAAAATGATGATTTTATCATTGTTTTTATTTTATTAGAACGCTAACTATCTATTATTTTCCTCTACGTTGATCACTGCAATAAGGAAGAATAAGGAAAATTAAAGGTTTATTATTGCAAAGTTACTTGTATTATATAAAAAGTTTTTGCGTAAACTTTTCATTTTGATAATAATTATACACTAAAATTAGTTGACCTGGAACATAAAGTGCAGGATGATTTTATCCACCCCGTTTATGTATCACGTTATTAATATTAATATAATAAGAAATGTTCGAGTTTAGTAGTAGATGAGTGTGCGGTAACTGAATTGTATTAAAAGAAAGACTTGGCTCCTTGGGAACAACTGATGAAACAAAGGAGATATTGGAATACATATTTACAAGTTTTTTTGTGATATTTTAGCATTTAAAACAATTTTACTTGCGTCATTTTTAATTTAATTTGACGTAATAGTTTTTACAACAACAACATTAATTGGAGTACTTTTGGTCTATGATGTTACAGATAAACGTTCTTTCAACAGTTCCTCGTGAAGAATAACATTAACAATGATGAGGTGGTAGAAGTGGATACTTTGTATGCATAATTTCAAAACTATATTAGCTTGCTTAATTCGTAGTCCGCCGATCAACGATAGAAATTGATTAGTAAAAACCGGGCGATCGGCATATTAATATATAAATGTATCGAGTGACGAAAGTTGTATATTATGAAAAAATATTTTTTTGTTATACAAAGTTATAGATAGGAACTTGATTTTTTAAAAAATGTAAAAATTATCTATTTTATTATTTCAAAATAAATAATTCGCTTTGGAGGAGCTATGGATTCCGGGTATAAAATATATA